GTAATCAACGGGTAAATTTTCTCTCCTTGTACCTTTGAAAGATCTCGTTTTTTTTTTTTTTTTTTTTTTTTTTTTTTTTTTTTAACTTTCCAATGACAACAAATCTAAGTTTATGTCCACCGATAGCGTTACTGCAAGACATGATAGTGATCCTTTCCTTGCTGCTTTAGAATGTCACGCACTGTTGTTTCCAATATTCCGTAATCCAATTCCCTCTACTGCCTTGTAGTGCAGTTTGCTACTTTGGAAATTAATTCTAGCTTTTGCGCAATCGTCAACACAACCTTCTTTCGTTTTCCTGACATTTTAAATCGGTACCGAAAAACACAAAACCAAAAAGCACAAGCACTGAACACAATATAAGATAAGAAATTAACTCCGACCGGTTCGCAAACACTATCAGGCTTAAACTAACAATGGCGAGTGGGAGGAAGTGGACGTGTCAGTAAGACGAGAGAGGATGGTGGAGCGAGCACTGCAAGGGTGAGTAAGATAATTATACTCTCGGATTATTAATTTTACTCTCGGATTATATTAATAATTATACTCTCGGATGATTATACTCCGATAATTATACTCTCGGATGCCTGTTGACTTACTCATCCATTTTTATTTTCTTTGCTTTACGCTCGTAAAAAAAAAAAAAAAAACTTTTTGTGCGGCAGACGACGCGGATAATTGGGAGTCTACAGTACTGTTATATGAAGTCGTTGGTCCATGGCCGAAGTTTGAGACACAGTTTGTTTAAATTCTCGCTCACCTAATTTGTAATTTGATACTTCACCTTATTTGCATTTTTGGTGGAGTAACAGGAATGTAGAAGAGCAGGAAGATTTAACATAAGAAATAAAATATTGATTGAAATAAATCTTACAATGTAACTCTAATAAATATAAACTATAACTAGAAAACAGATAAATACACTGACTACCAATAAGTATTTGGACACCTGTGATAGAAAAGAAAAACTAACTTTATTCAAAATCAATAGTTGGTAGAGCCTCCACGAGAGGTAATTACAGCGTGGACCCTCCGGGGTGTACTTTCCACAAGTCTTTGTATGACAGCTAGTGGTATTTTCCACTCGGCTTGGAGAATTCATAATTCCACCTCCGCCGAACTTGACTGTTGGCACAATGCATTCTGGCAAAAGACGTTCTCCAGGTAGACGCCAGACCCAGACCCTGCCATCCGAACGGTAAAGGGTAAACCTTGATTCGTCACTCCAAAGAACCCGTTTCCACGGATCTACGGTCCAATTTCGATGTGCTTTGCACCACATTAACCGAGCAGCGCGGTTGGACTTTGTGATCAAAGGCTTATGGCCAGCAGCACGACCACGAAAACCAAGCAGATGTGCTTCCTTACGGATGGTATTCATTGAAACAATACTCTCGGATGCCTGTTGAAACTCCTCGCGGATGAGGGCCATCAGTTGGGTGTGGTTCTTCCGAATTTCTCTGGACACCACTCGTCGGTCTCTATCTCCCAGTTTCGTTAGTCTGCCGACTCGGGGCACATTCCAACAATTACCACTCACCTTCCACTTCTTAATCACATAGGCCACTGTCGATTTCGGGTACTTCAGATCGCTAGATCTGTCCCTTAAGGATCGGCCATATTTGTGATACCCGATAATTATACCTTTCTCGAAATCAGAGAGCTCCGAACTGAGAGGCATCTTGCATGCGACTAAAGCCGATGCTGTTTCCTACACGATATATACCGGCGGAGTCCGTGACGTACCTTAGGACCGCAGATATCGTCATTTACATAGGTGTCCAAATATTTATTGGTAGTCAGTGTATGGTTGGATTTAAATTGTGTTGCAACTAGAAATAATGGCCCGATAACCAGAAAATGTGATGAGCTGTAAAATGTTTTTACTGGCCGTTTTTTTCCACTTTTATTAGGACATTAAAATGTAAAATGCGGAAGTATTTTCAAGAAGATAACGTGGCGTCTTTAGATCACATGCTAGACCTTATCACAATGAACCGTATAACTTTACAAATATTTTTTCAGAGAAGGAAAGAAAAAAACAGTCTTATCTTCGAATTCAAACTATTAAAATTTTACGATCACTTTTATAAAAAAAACTTTCTATGGTGAAAGATGTACCCATATCATTATGTTGCTCATGGGTTGCAATATTGGCATAATTCGCAAAATGAAATTTTAAATAAACATGATTAAAGTTTCCCTTGGTTTTGAAATGCAGGAATAACAAGCTTACTTGATGGATTAAAACATAAGCCTTATTAAAAGATTTCATGGGACTTTTGTTAATAATAATGAATATAAAACTAACATTATTCAGTAATAAAAAAAAATTTAATGAAATTGCGTTAGTGTTGTCATTCCTTCTTGCGTTATGTTGAACTACACCAGAAGTACATGGCTCCTAGTATTGAAAAGATTTACAGAAAATGAATTAAATTTTAAATCTTACTGACAATTATGTTACTACATCGTGATATGTAAAACAATATTACAAAATGGCAATTTTAATGTTTCGATGCTACATCGTTAACCAAAATACAAACGAAAGCGAACAGTTTGCAGAGAATAGCTATATTTACGCAAGTTTTAAAATAGAACCTACTTTTATGATTCAGTTTTTAGACTGCTGTAAAATGCTGAAGAATAGCTTGATATTGTTTTCCTGGCCATTAAACGTTGTAGTTCTTAAATATTGCAAGAGATTTATTGTAAGCTTTCTTCAATGCTGCTTCCTGGAAGGATTGCAAACTTTTTCTGTTTCTGGAATCCTTCACATTGACAGTTTTTAAAACCTGTTTCTTTAATACAGGTCTTATGAAAAATGTAATCTAATGGTTGTTTTTGTGTACTTTTACTATAGAAAAGTCGATGGAGTATAAAGTGTCATTGTTAAATTTACAGCGAAATTTTGACACGTCTGATATTTGAGATCCCTTACGCCAGTAAAGTCGTCGTGTCTCAATTTGAAAAATCTGAATTTTTTCCATTCCCAGAATTTTGCTTGTTTCTTTTTCTATTTATAGAAATAAATTGAGAAGGAATATAAATGAAGTCTGATTTAAATAATCGTTTCACTTTTTTTAATTAAAGAATGAGCACAATATCTTTCATTTTGCGTGTGTACCACAACAAAAAATTTATGTGCTATGCTTTTATTCTCCTAATTCACAGCAATAATATTGTAAATAATGTTACAGCATGCAAGTAACAGGCAACAATGTGTACATTTGTGAGAACTCACGAAATATTTTAATTTTATTTCGCATTTATGTTACGAGAGAACTCATTTGTATTTTTTAAACACTTCAAAACCAGTAACTATTTCCTGTCTTATTTTTAAAATATCGTAATTGTTTTCAAAATTTTGATTTTCTTCATCGTTTATTGTGGAAGAAAAAAAAGGTAAGCATGCATTATATTGGTATAAATAATGCATCTATAAAATCTAAGGAGTAGTTTTAAAAAAATTCAGCAAACTTGGCAAACGATAATTGACAGCATTTAATATTACGATATTTCATTTTGCTATTCTTAAGATATCGTCTGATTGTGAACAAACGTTTCTAAGCAGTTAATCTTTGCTTTGATACAGTGAACATCTATGTCATGGATTCGAAAGATGAGTGAATAATGACCATTAAGTTTTCCTGTAAAGAGGTAATTAATCCTGATTTTTTTTTCAAACATATTGTAACTGAAGATGAAACTTGATGCTTTGCTTATGATCTTGAAATAAAATGGAAGTCAGCTGCTTGGACTGGAGCAGGGTTTATAAAATTTTAACAGTTCTGATATTTCTTTTACTTATTATAATAATTTTACAGTTACCAAATATTTTTACACAATATATCTATATCTAAAAATAAATAAAGATAAGACAGTACAGACAAAAAAAAAAAAAAAAAAAAAAAAAAAAAAAAAAAAAAAAAAAACACGAAAACGTTTCGACGCATTTTTTTTTATAATATAAACATTAATTTTCCTTGCTTTGCACGTGACGCTGTCATTTCGTCTCTTACTTATTTAAAATTTTCACATTATTCTATGTCTTAAAATTGGAAATTAAAGTTAATAGCCTAAAACTGCAATAGTATATTACAGTACAAGTGAAAAAATTGACAGTTTCATTCACGCGTGTGTCGGATTTGCGCTATACTTATGGGGGTCCCACAAATTTTTTTGTAAATATTATGGGGTCCTGGGGGTCGCAAAAAAATCTCATTGATAAAAGGGGTCGCGACTGAAAAAGTTTAAGAAACCCTTGACTGGAGAATGTTCACCAAGGCAGCAGAAAATTCGATATCCGAAATCGAGTAAAGACCATACTGATAGCTTTGATTGGAAAGAGATTCGCAAGGAATTTGTTCCTGAAAGACAGATGAAGAATTGCATACTATATTACATAGACTTTTTAAAGATATCATTCAAGTCTGAAAAAGCTCAATCAAATAACTGATGTCTACTAAATGGAAGAGTGCCATCATATAATTTCACTCTCGTCAAGCCCTTCTTACCAAAGAATAGTGTCACAAATTTGGTCCTGACCCATCTCCATCCTCTTATTCACCATATTTGGCACTTTCAGACTATTTTCTCTTCCCTAAAATGAAGTTTTACATCAGAGGCTATTACTTTAATAGCAAACGACTCGGAAAACCGTACCCAAAGACTTTTAAAGATTATTCCCAAAGAAGAGTTCGACTAAGGAATCAAGTTAGCTGTAAATGGGCTAAGCGTTGTATAGACTTACAAGGAATATTCAAGTCAAGTAAGAATGTTTCGATCCTGTACGAACATATTTCAGAACGTTTGGAGATGTATCGTGTACATTATTTGCCGAATTACCAGTAAAAGGTATCCAATACTAGTAAAAGGGTTAAGCTATTTTTCATGATTTATAATCCCTATTGCATATGTATCCACAGGATGAACCACAAAGATCTGACGATTTTGAGTTTGAAACTGCTATATGTTGTTCAAATATTTATTTATTTTAGATCACGAGAGGCTATAGATCTCAATGGCTATCGTTGCAGCAAGGCGGGGACACATTACATTTGGCCAGAGAGTCCGTGACTGTCATTTAGCAAATGTTTTTCCAGCCATGCGATTTTTGAAGAAAGAGGTTCTACAACCAGCATGTTCTCCAGGTTCATCTACATGGAATTAACTTTACGGGTGTCTAAAATATGCATCAGTGAACCTAGGAACATAAACAAACTCAAGGTAATATTTCAGGAACCAGTTGCGACAATACCAAAGTGATCAAAGAGTGATGCAAAGTATGCATGATAAACTAGAGAAGTATAACACGAATGTTAAAGAACACTTGAAAAATGTGTTTTTTAAAAATAACTGGAGAGAATAATGGCATCGTATTGTTTTTTCTTTTAGGTGAAATACTTGATTTATATTTCATGATGTTAATTTCGATCTCAAAGCATTATATTCTCATGCCCACCTTATAAATATCCTATCAGCAAAATAATAAATAAAATTGTTGCCATTGAAAAATAGGCAGAAGTTCTTCATAGCATTAAACAAAATACTCCACAAAGAAGACTGCATTATATGGCGTTAGAAAACGCTTTATTAATTACGATAATTTTAATGACAAAGCTATCTCTGCGATATTATACAACAGCCACGTATTTTTCTTTTACACTGAAAATGAGATATATTTCATTCATGGTGTTTATAACAAGAATTCCAATGATACATTCATGAAATTTTTTCTCTTCATTTGTGGACTTCACACTGCAGCATGGAAAAATCCGCTATTAATAAATGCCAATTTTACATAAACTGTAATAATTTTAATTAAGGTACGTCAATAGTGTTAATGTTTTCCAAGTTTACACTCGATCTTGTAATGCTACTGAAGTTCTATAACCCTAACAGACATGAAACCAGATTGTAGTTATCTCTATGTAGATTCATCGCTGAACATTATACGATGCCAGTATGCCATTATACGATGCCATTTACACGCATAACTTGTTTTTATTCCAATTATAATCAAACCAAGTACCACATGTTCAGTATATATATAGAGAAATTTCAGATTGTAGTAGAAACCAGATTGTAGTTATCTCTATGTCTGATAATATCGACAGTTTCCTTTTTATTTAAACAGAACTAGGAACATAACTGCACGCTTTTATACTACAATAACCACAACTCGTGGTGGTAAAAATAAATAGAACAGTAAAATTTAAATTAAACGTTGAACAGTAGTCAGAGACTACACAATTAAAAAGTACATTAGAAGCTGGCTCAATAACTACACAGTTGCGTCCGAATTAAAGCGTCGACAGCGAGAAACCGCAAAGCCGAATAATTGAAACTGTTAGAGCTGGCAGGAAACCAACAACGTAGCGGGCAAGCGATGCCAGAAACACTCGCTGTTTCAAATCCAAAAACATCAGCTTAAATACTCACTACTAATTTGCATTCTGGTGAGGAATATGGAAACGACAAGTTATAATAAAGATCGGAATCACAATAACTGGTTAATGAACAAAAGATTCCCTACAAAATACATAAACATTAACAATGTATATAAATTAATAGGGACACAAAACTGTAATAATATTATAAAGGGAATTGGGGTAAAAAACAAACTGTAATAATATTATAAAGGGAATACATGGACTGTTTTTAACTCTTTTAGTCTGCTATAAGAGATGCAATTTTTGAATGAATAAATTAGTAACTAAAATAAATTTTAAAAGTAAATTTAAAATCTTATGTCGTGCAGAACAGTTTTAAGATGTGTATCATCGCCGACAAGCTTTACTTTTCATACTCAAGCATAACATTAATGTACATATGTGTATAAATATCACTTTAATTAAGAACAAGCATCTGCATATTAATTTTCATTTCCATTCACTCCTTATCATTAGACAAAGTGATCTGCTGTTTTCTATATTATGCGGGCAACACCTGCATGAAATGTCTCAGGTGTTTTTTTTTTTGCGGCAAAGTTCATTTATGGAGAGTCGCTTAGCAACGAATGCCTGCTTGCTCTTTTCCATCATCTAAAAACACCATTAAATTTAGTACAGTCCAAATATCTAGATTAAATGGGTCCTTAGCCTATCCAGGTATTCAAATAATTTCATTGGGCTTTTCTTTTTCTATCGGTCAAATAAGTATTTATATCAGAGAATTCTGTTTTTTTTTTTTTTTTTAATTTATTTTTTTTATTATTTATCGTATTTCATTTAAAACAAGTAAATAAAATGCTTTTAATTTTGTATAACTAAGTAATAAACGTCTTCCCCCTGATCAAATGTAATGTATTTTCTTTCTTAAACGCATAACTTGTTTTTATTTCAATTATAATCAAACCAAGTACCACATGTTTCAGTATATATATCGAGAAATTTCAGCAAATTTTTTATTACTGATGTTCAAGGGCCTGTTTATATACGAGTTCAAAATTATTTGAAAATAAATTAGATCAAAAAATAATATTACAGATTACATAATTCACGAAATATCACTTTTATTTTATTTAATCCTAATATACATTAATCAGATTTCTCAATATCGGTTTTAACGCCTTAAAATTTTCTAGCAGTTAAACAATATCTGTCTATGCTACACACAAGGCCGGATGAATGCCATCGTTCTTTATTTGGCCATCATCATTATCACCCATTTCGTATATATGTTATCGTGAAAGACCGAAATTGGAGAATGTCGACTTTCACCAGAGAATGTCAATATTCACCAAATACGTCGGTGAAAGATCGAATATTGTATTGCATTCTTGTACATTCGGACCCTCACCGGTTAATGTCGACAATCACAGATATGCTCTGGTATAGGTCGAAAAGAGAGGAGTATATGTACACTCTGTCATTGCAAAAGGAAGTGTTCCAGAAATAAATGCAGTTGCAAAAGCAAGGGCCACTTGTGCAATTCAAAGTGTCATAATAGTTTAAGTTATTGCAATAAATAAGATTTGAATCACATAATTTAGTAAGTTTTTAACTTCCATTATTTTCCTTTCTCATTTTGAATGTACTATGTGTTTTAAGTTCTTATGTTCTTATTTCAAGACTCAAGTCCGTTTTTTCGCGGCTGAATAACGGAGAAGAAAATATAATAATATTCTTATATGTTCAACATTCACCATTAGTACATGGTGAATGTCGACATTTACCGGTGTAAGTCAGAAATAAGAGTATTTGGAAAATATTTCGGACATACACCAAGCGACTATGTGAATGTTGACATTCACCGGTGAAAGTCGACATTCTCCAGATTTCGGTGTTTCACCGTAACATGTACACTGTTTTGCAAAAAAAATCGAAGCACCAAGAAGGACTTTAGAGATCGTGACGAAATTGAGTATGCAAAAACATCTTGATCGAACATGCAAATGATCAAAGTTTCAAGGCAAATGAACAGGAATTGCGATCATAGCGCTCATTTCTAGTGCGCAACTCGCAAAGTATAAAACCAGTAACAGAGGCTGAAATTTTTTTTTGTTGTTGTTGTTGTTGTTGCTGCCATTGTAATTCCCTAAAGAAGCAACTAAAGATATTACGACAATATCGAAGACCTTATAGACAACTAAACGACTTCGAACATGGTTGCATTGTAGCGTTGCGTGAAGCTACGTGGTCATACAGCAGACCGCCACCTGCAGCGTACAGACACTGCTGTGCAGAGATGTTGGCAGCAATAGTTGCTACAAGGAAATTGCCGACGAAATGAAGATTAATCAAGGATCACGAATACGAAGCAAGATAGGATGATTGTTCGCCAGGCCCGAACCATCCCAACGGTATCATTGTCGACTATTCAAAGCACTACAGCCACCTCTATACCTCCCGTGGTACAGTCCACCATCTCACGGCGCATGTCTGAGGTGGAGTTACGCTCATAGAGGCATTTAAGACGTTTGCCTTTGACCCCACAACATCGGTTGAGTCGTCTGGAGAGGTGTCCCAGTCGTTCATCATGGCTGCCATCAGACTGGCATCGTATAGTGTTCAGCGATGAATCCCGCTTCACTCTTGAAGCAGATGACCACTGTATTTGTGTCTGGAAAGGACGGGGCAAGCGGTCCCAATCAGCCTTTGTTTTACAAAGGCATACAGCCATAACCCCTGTGTGATGGTGTGGGGCGCTATTTCTTACGACAGCAAGTTATCTTTAGCCATCCTCCGTACATCTTTAACAGCTCAACGATATGTTGATACTATCCTGCGGCCGGTTGCATTACCCTTCGTGGCACATCATCCTAGGGCCATTTTCCAACAAGATAATGCCAGGCCACATACCGCTCGCATATCTCTGGACTATCTCTGTGCGGCTGATACTTCCTTGGCCAGCAAGGTCACTAGACCTTTCACCAATCGAGCTTGTCTGGGACATGGTAGGCCGCCAGATTCGGGCACCACAAAATATTGCAAATCTGGAGCGACAACTGATAAATGCCCGATAGAATGTGCCGCAGGATGACATTAGGATCCTCTACCACTCCTTGCTTCGACGAATTCAAGCATGCATTGCTACCAGGGGCGGTTCGAACAACTACTAATTTGAACAGTCAATGGGTGATTGTGAGCCGTGAACAAGTCCTCATGACCTTGATTTTTTAATCATTTTGTTATCTGTGTATGAGCTATACACGTATCCAATTTCATCAAAAACTTGCTTCATGGTGCTTCGATTTTTTTGCAAAAGAGTGTATTATAATCTTCAATTCCGTCCATAACATTGCTCAGCAAAATTAATAACTTTTAGTTTAAAACTAGCAGAACGTGCAGTCCTATATTGTCCAGGCATCTTTCATTATATAGCAGAAATGAATTCTACTCGTAAAAGCAAGTGCGCAAATGAGGGTTAAAACGATCTTCTGATACCTTGAAAATTATTATTGTTTACTGAGAACCAAAGTAAAATTCGTTCCGCTGTTTCAGAACGCCAAATGATGGGAATGCCTTAAAGGGAACATACTAAAGGTAATTAAGAAAGACATATTATTGATGACAAATCTGTCCTTTCATTCCACAGTGCTCACACCGCTATTTCTCGAATAGAAACTGAAAATGAATTGGCACTCATTTTCTACTCGTTTGAAAAGACTTTAGCGACACGACAATTATTCACACTTTCGGTGATACTATACAGCTCAATTTAAAAAGCAGTTTTAAATTCCACTTATGCATAGGTTTTTTAATTTTGCCTGAGATTTCGCAATAAAATCTTACATCGCGGCTTGTACATGCATTGCTTTATATTTGGAAATATACGGTAATTAATTTTCTGCAGGCCGTAAAAATTAAGCACATAATCTTCCTTTTATATTTACTTCATTAAAATTAAAGAAAAATAGTTTTATTTCTTTATACGACATAAAGGGCATATTGTAATCGCGAAAACTTTCGAGTATTATATTTCTGGGAGAATATCCATTCTGAATGCTCTCGAATCCATTTGAACGATTTTTTTGTGTGAC